GCCTCCCCCTGCCCCCCGGCTCTGCCGGCCTCCCCTCAGACAAGTGACAGACACCTGTGGGCCTTGTTTTCTTGGCCTGCGGACTGTAGTTTCTTAACATTTGGGGGAAGGTCACAGACACCTTTGGGAGTTTGACGGAAGCTTTGAGCCCTTTCGCTGGGCGGGGATGCTCAGTGCAGCTACATAAAGTTTTGTGTACGCTTTTAGGGGACAATCTTCAGAATCCAGTTTAGTGCTAAAATCTCACGGCTCTCGTAGACTAAGTAAGCCTTGTTTCCCTACCCTGGAAAATTATTTTTGGTGACCTGATTCTAATTAAGAAGACAAAGATGAGCCCTGGAAACCAAGTGGCTGCAGGCCCACACCTCTGCTGGCCACCTGTCTGGAGCGTGGTTTGGCAGTACATGCTGAGCTGTTTTAAAGACATGTAGCCTGGAACTCAGCACTTCCACTTGCCAGAACGCTCTCCTAAATAAGTAATTTCAAAATATATAAGAAGCTTTGTGCACCAAGATGATCGTTAAATTGTTACTGGGATAATGTCCTTTGTTAGAATATAGATAAAGCAAATGATAGCACATCAATAAGAGAGTCTCATATGCGTAGCCATACCCTTATATTTATGAATAGTTTTTAATAGGGGAAATGTGTTTATTGTGGAAAAAAGTTGGATATGCTCAATGATCTCAAATAATATAAAAACAATTAAAATCTAGAGGAAGAATTCACAAATGTTAACAGTTACTGCTTGTGGATAGTAGGATTAGGGCTGTTTCCACTTTTTTCCTGTTTCCTTGTCCACAGTGCTAGTTCTAGATTGGGGGAGAATGCGATTCGGGAAAATCTGTCGAATGTGGAGATAGTTTGGCAGCGCAGGTCCAGCTAGTTTCTGATCCCTGCTTCATGTAAGCTAAGAATTGACTTGACTTGCATTATTTCTTGGGGTTGCATGCAGGGCTTCAGACTGGTTCATCCCAGTTTGACTCCCTTCTGAGAATCTGCATCTCCACCACAGATATCCTGAATCATAGCCTATATTTTAGCAAGATCCCCAGGCGATTCTTACGTATGATAAATTTTGAGAACCGCTCTGGTTCTTGTTAAAATGTAGATTGTGATTCAGTATATCTGGGGTGGAGATACAGATTCTCAGCAGGGGGTCGGACTGGACCGAACCAGTTAGAACCCTGGCTGGATCTAAGTGAGCATGGCCGAGGGGAGGAGTGACAGCTCAGAGGCAGTGCTGACGCGGAAGTGTCATGCTCCACCTCAGCTGTGATGGTACCAGAGAACACACACGTTGTTAGGCGCCGTGGAGTTGGTTCCGACTCCTAGTGACCCTGTGTACACAGAAGGAAATGCTTCCCGATCCCATGCCACCTCATGACCGTTGTTTTGCTTGAGCCCATTGTAGCATCTGTCCTGTCTTTGCTAGGTCACTTGCCATTTTCTTCCTTCTGTGGTACGCCATTTGTGTGCGTGCTGAATTTCCACAGCGGGCTGGAAGCTCTTCCAGGATAGCGTCATACGGGGCCAGCGTGAGCAGCTGGCACTGAGCCCCTGCCTGATGGCACTCAGCACTCGTTAGAGCAACAGGAGTCTGAACCTCAGCCCCTGCCAGGCCTGAGAGATCACACAGCTTTGGGGGCGGTGGCTTAGCAAACATTCTGGATGTACATTTTTTGTATATGATATTTTTCTGGTCTTTTCGTTTAAATATCGATCCAAGACCTTTGATTTTAATTCCAACCTTAACTCGCTTCCAGGGTACTAGGAAAAGAATGTTTATCTGGGAAATAGAAATCGCTTCTGACTGATTTTTCCGTTTAGGATTCACAGATGGATTCAGTGGAAAAGACAACAAATAGAAGTGAACAGAAATCAAGGTAAGTAAAGTCACCTCCACCTTCAAGCAGGCGTAATGGCCTCATACAGCATCTCACGGGTCTGCTCACGTGATACTTAGCATGTACGTTGTCCTGGACTCCCTGGACCCCATGGGTCTGGAGGGAGTCATAAGGACCGTTTACCGCCTTTTGCTTCAACAAAAGAAACGTTCCAGAAGGCAGTTTTCTACCCTGGTGCCCCATTGCCTCGCCTCCAAACCAAACAACAAGTAGCTTGAGAGGCCGTGTCTAGGACTCGGGTGTCCCCCTGAGCAGGAAAGAATCCTCGGCCGTAATGGACTGCAGGCTGTGGGTGTGAGGGAGGAGCCGGAGAAGAAGGTGCTTGTTTAGAGTGGGCTGAGGTAAGTGGGTGCCAGGAACCTCGTATCTGTCACTGCAGGCAGGATCATTTGTTATCATAGTTTGTATTTTCAGTCTCTGTGCAGCTCCAAAGAAGTGAGAAGTGCTGAGCTTTTTATTCATAACTATGTGTCACTTAAATGTGTGCTTAACAATCTGGGAGATTCAAGATGAGTAAGACACAGCTGCCCCCCAAATCCTTGATGAAATGAGGCTAACCTGTTGCCAAGTCAATTTTGACTTATGGGAGCCCTATAGGACAGAGTAGAACTGCCCCATAGGGTTTCCAAGGCTGTCATCTTACAGAATCAGACCGCCACTTCTTTCTCCCATGGAGCGGCTGGTGGGCTTGAACCACCAACCTTTCTGTTAGCAGCCGAGTGCCTAAGCACTGCGCCGCCCCCAGGGCTTATTTGAAATGAGGCTAGGCCGTGTAGAGTGAGTATGTAAAGGCGAATGCCCAGCCTGTCTCCTGGGTGGTGTAGAGTAGGGAAAACTGGTGTGTGCTGCAGGCCATATTTGACCTGGCACTTCACGGGCATTCCCAAACGCGTTGCTTTTCTTTGCGGTCACAGTATTTCCACGTTGACGTTCGTTCTCTCCCCCCTGTTTGTGAGTAGAAAGTTTTTGAAGAGCCTCATCCGGAAACAGCCCCAGGAGCTGCTCCTGGTGATCGGGACAGGCGTCAGTGCGGCCGTGGCCCCAGGGATCCCGGCGCTGTGCTCGTGGCGAGGCTGCATCGAGGCTGTCATTGAGGCTGCGGAGCAACTGGAGGTGCTGCACCCCGGGGACATCGCCGAGTTCCGGAGGAAGATGACAAAGGATCGAGACCTGCTGGTCGTTGCCCACGACCTCATCCGCAAGATGTCACCAGTGAGTCTTTTTGACAAGTCCTACGAGTTCCACTGGGGCTGAGTGGTTCCATGCCACGCTGGGGAATCTGAATTTGATATTAATTTTCTGCGGGCCTATGCTGTGTTCACTTCTCGGCAGCGGCAGGCTGAGAAGCCCATAACCTTTCATCTGTCAATGTCATCTTCTGAAACAGAGATGATGCCGGGTGCCGTGTGGGGCTGCCTGGAGCCTGGGCAGGCGAGATGGTCTGGGGCCGTCATTGCACACCATTGGCCGTGAACTTGGTGGTTTTCTACTCATTGCGTGGAGGACGGACCCTTAGGTGCGTCTTGGTCTAAGCAGGTCACCACTTCTCTGCAGATGACCAGTTGTTCTCAGAAAACATTTAAAGATGGGGGAAATAGCTTTTCCTTCTGCTGGTGGGAGTGGTCTAGGAGAGGGGAAAGGTCACTGGTGATGCAAGAGACAGCGCTGGAGTGGTGCCCACGGGTAGGTGGGATCTGCTGCATGAGGGGGGCTCAGCCTTAGGTGTATGGCTCGGTCCTCCGTGGAGCAGGTGCAGTGACAGGTGAGGGCATGTTCTCCGTGGGAGCAGGCGCGGTGACAAGTGAGGGCGTGTCCTCCGTGGGAGCAGGCGCAGTGACAGGTGAGGGCGTGTCCTCCGTGGGAGCAGGCGCGGTGACAGGTGAGG